ATGTGATCCTTGGTAAACCTCCTTTGCAGTTCGCAAACTTTTGTGCACCGAAACAGGCCACAGATATGCAGAGGCCTACTAGTACGCCTAGCATTTCTAAAAATACTGGAATGTTTGGGCCAGTGTCTTCTGGAGCATTAGCAAACCGTTATGGCTAAATTCTCAAGTTCAATTTCCAATATACTGGCATTCCAACCAAATTCAACATCACTGTTTTACAGCAGAAACACTCCGAAGGAAGCCATGCATTTTCCTTTTACCGAGCGTCATTGGCGCTGTCTGTTTACAATTTATACCCACTATTACTATTATACCCACGTTACTTGGCCAACCTACTATACAGTAGCAGAATGTGTCTAATGTACATTCATCCGAAGTGAGGAACAATTGTGTCATTGATCCAACTTGGTCACCACTGATTTTTTACCCACTTCAGAATTTTTTTTTTTCAAGAAATGCTAATATTATAATCACAATATTTAGAAATTTGAAAACTGAATCAACCAACGATAATATTTATTATATATAATACAAATTATATTTTAAAGCCAATTGTAAACAATATGGTACTAATATGGAAATGTCTGTTGTACATATTTTCTCAGTGGTATAGATTTTTAACACTCTCTGTAAACATTATTTGTGGGGTTTTAGATTGTTGATTAAAAAAATAATAAAAATATATTCATCCTCCGCTGATTTTTAAAATAGATGTGATGCTTTTATATTTTTCTTGGCCATATGCTTTTGATGTTTCTCAGATGTTCATTCATTCAGCCGCCTTCTGCACTGATTACATATTTAAAAAAGAATTTTGATCAATCTGCATAATCCATTGCAAAGTCTGTTTACATACTGAAGACCAAATTAAATTATGACAGTGTCTGAATTTGATAGATCCTGTATTTCAATTGGTTGATTAACAATATGGCAGTGCATTCCATATGTGTATGGTGATACATTATAAAGGGAGATTGTGAACCACCACCACCAATCCATTGGTATTATCGTCGTCATAACGTTGTCCTCATATAATCATCACCATCATGTCCTCGTAATCATTCATCAATTCCCACCATCATTTGCATGTTTGTAATCATGATGATCATCATCATTATCATTGTAATCTTCAACATAAGTTATCATTATTACATCATTGTCATTATCATCACCATCATTAGTCGAGATTTTTTTTTAAATAACTTAGTGTACCCCTGCCCGCCAGTAATTGTGATTTCAAATAAAAATAAAATGTCATTGTCCCTTAATAGTGTACTGTATAAATTACTATTTGAGATCTATTGTAAACTATGAAGAAAGTCTTTCATCAACTGAATGGTGTTTCACTATTTGATTTCTTGAATGGCCAAATATCTATAAAGGTTTTAACTTTGAATTATCCATTGATAGCAATTTTAATCAGTCCCACAAGGCCAATATAGTTTGTACCTTGGACCATGTAAAGCATGGTAGCTATGCTATGCAGTATACTATGCTGGTAATTATCATTGAACCATCCCAGAAAGTAAATAGTCATACACTGTAGCTACCAGGTGTATGTTAATTGCAAATTTTATAGGCACCCAGAGTCATATATACATTGTAGTGTATATTCCCAAACTGTATGGTGATAAAGATATCATTCTTATAATTACTGTAGTACTGTAGGTGTACTAAGTGTTATTTGCTTTTTGATGCACAGTAAAACTGTGTAATCTGTTTAGTTGCTAATCAGTTAGTTTTTTTAGTAAATGATTTCTTCAGTGATTTGTTAATTTCAAACCTATTGTATGCACATAATAGCAACCAACAAAGATAGCAGCATGATTCTTATATACAAATAAATTTTGACACAAGTTTCAGTTTTTGGTTTCATTCAGGACTCCATTCTTTTGAGTCATATATGTACTGCTAATCTTGATTATCAATTCACAGTGTAGAAACAACATTTTATTTTCCATTTTTGTATGGGCTACTGTATGTAAGCTCATATGCAATGGTGTGTCTAGGATACATTAAGGGAGGGGGGTGGGGCTGTCTCTTATACACCAGGGGAGGGGGACTGGCCATTTCTTGCAGCAAGATTCTGGGTGTTGCAATAAGATGCTTTATTAGTAGTTGAAGAAACAGTAGTTAGAACTAAATCTACACTCTTTGTTTTTTATAACACATTTTAAAGAACACTGAAATCGCTTAAAAATTAAGAAAAAATTAAGAACAAATTGAGGCTGAGGTAAAATGTCAAATGAGTTTTTGATTTTTTTTTAACTAGAAAAACTACCAAATCTTCTTCTGTACTTCTCTTTTCGAGATGGGCTTCTTTTCGAGGCTACATTTGCAAGGCAAAGAGGGGGCTTCTTTTCAAAATGAGTACTGTAAATTTTGCAAATTTGTACTTATAAAACAATAAATACGGCCACTTTAACATTAATCTGTATCATGAAGTGTATTTAACTGGCATTAAATCACCTAAATTACTGTATAAGCCAATATTTAATGAATTTATTTTGTTTTTAAAAAATTCATGTACAGTGTATTCTGTACTATTTCGAAAAAGAAGCCGATGCTATCTTGAAAAGAAGCCCATGGGCTTCTGTTTGAGGCTAATTTTGCAAACTAAAGAGGAGACTTCAATTCGAGATGGGCTTCAACACGATGTTAAGCCCACTGGGCTTCAATTCGAGGTTTTACGGTATTAGCTTTTGACAATCTTTGGTACACGTGTTGTGTACCTAAATAATAAATAAATGCTGGCTATTTTGTAAAGCACTCAATATCCAGGTTTATGTAATCTGACACTGACAGTGTTACGAATTAATTGTATAAGTAGACCTGCAGTCAAATACCATGAAGCCCAATATAAATCCAATAGTGTACGTTGTTTTGAGTGTTATGCCTGATTGCACTTTATCTTTGGTCATCCTGTAATAGGTATGGTATGGGTTCCTTTGCAGGATGTGTAGGCTAAGGTTGAATAGAATAATGACAACACCCAATATAGGTCTGGTTTCAATAATGCATTACTAAACTGAGTACCAGTAGTTGTATATTTGATATCAATGAAAATTAGGTAATTCAGATTGTGTATTCAACTGGCATAGGTGAACATGAAACACTGATATAGTAATGTTTATTCATGATTATATATAATCATGAATAAACATTACTATATCAGTGTTTCATGTTCACCTATGCCAGTTGAATATGAAACACTGATATAGTAATGTTTATTCATGATTATATATAATCATGAATAAACATTACTATATCAGTGTATTCAACCGGCATAGGTGAACATGAAACACTGATATAGTAATGTTTATTCATGATTATATATAATCATGAATAAACATTACTATATCAGTAATGTTTATTCATGATTATATATAATGCCTCTGCATTGGTATCTTTGCATTTGATGGTATTATTAACGATAGAAAGAGGGAGGTCAGTACTAACAATGTCTAGCTTCAAGTTGATGATAGTTAATTCCAATTGCCATTGAGATTTTGTTTGGATTAACAGACCATAACCTTTGAACCCTATTATAGTTAAAGTTTAAATATAGGTACAGTAGATATCATAGCCAATCAACCAAGAGTTCAGGATAGATGTTTACATTTTTTAACATGCATGTGGATGATTAGTACTAATACTGCGATGTACAGTACAGTGTATAGTAATTTCAGGTATAAACCTACCTCTGTGTACGCAAAGAGTATAGGGTGGAAATGGCATCATGCACGCTAACAGCTATTCTAGATAGGTTGTCTAGCCTACTGTATCGTAGGCATCAAGAAAAACAAATCATGAGAGTCTAGCCTATTGTTTTGACCTCGGAAAACTTAAACAGGCCAAGGCTAGGCCGAATGCTAATTTTTAATGCAATTTATTCTATACATGGTTTATTAAACTGTACTATTAGAATTGAGGGTATAGGTGGAAAAGTTCTGCTCCAAACATTTGGAATTTGGTGATGGCCTTCTATCTGAGAAACTACAGTAATGACAAACTTGCAGGGGTTAAATCCATTTATTTCTGGCTCAAAAATTAAAGATGATGTATATGATACAAAAAGTCAATTTTAAACATCTGTACAAAAAGTCATCTTCCATATGGATTGATTTAACTGGCTTACTCAACGTCTACTTGTTGGTCTGGGGTTGATTCATTTTATGAATCAAATACATGTATTCTCTTGTGACTGATAACTCACATTAATAATGAAACATTCTATCACAGCAGTGGACAATACAAGTAAAAGAGCTTAACGCGTTGACTGCCAGACCTTATTTTAAGGTTCCTTCCCTAGCGCCAAAACAATTTTACATGTACAGTACAAACATACTTTCTAGAAAATTTATCTAGCCATATCATCAAAATGATAATAAATGTCTAATAAATTGGCGGGAAAATATTAGGAGGCGAGTAAACTCATTGACGGCACTGTGAAAGGACTTTTTATTGACTATGCCAAGTGCTCTACAGGTAGGTAGGTAGGTATTGGTATATGTTCAAAGGGAGCCCAAACTTGTGACGCTCGAGTGTATTACAAGCAACATACGTGCATCATTTGTATGTTATTGTCTACATGTATCTTCCCCAAAACTACCAGCCATTGTTTCTGTGGTTCTACAATGTATAACAAGGAAGTTGTAAACGCAAGGATGTTACCCCGATTTTGATGAGTACGTATACTCGTCCCTGGCGCCTTCAGCAACCTGTGGGCGGGTATACTCGTCGCTGGCAGCCAACGTGTTAAAACCTCGTTAAGATATTCAGCAATGCTTTAAGCTTTGTCTACACTATCAAATATTATGTGGCAAAACAAAATGTATGCCCATATTTGGGTGTAATATGACATCACCATGCCCATATATGGGTACATCACACAAATATCATAAAATTTTATAGTGTGGACAGAACTATATTCAACAGGGATAATGGAGAACATTCTAGATTTACAACATTTTTTTTTTTTTTTTTTTTAACGTAGCTCTGTGTAAAAAATGTCGGAGCAGGGGTATGACGACCAAATAATCGAGGATGGAAAGAGTTTTTGGGAACTCGGACAATACAAGCGAACGGTCAAAAGGATAGACGATGGACATCGGTTGTGTAACGACCTTGTAATGATGCTAAATGAACGGAGTGAATTGGAAAAAAAATACGCCAAAAGTTTACGGAACTGGTCCAAGAAATGGAATGATCTAATTGAAAAAGGTTAGTTTCATAAATTTATATAAATCTGCCACTAGATTTCGATGAGATTAACGTATACCTGTATATTATATTAATGGTGCATAATATGGAAAATATTTGGCATAGTGTGTGTTATAAACCAACCTGTATAAATAATGACTTTATAATGCCCTTAATGTATTTAGTGCATGCTGTGATATTGAGAAAGCAGAAGAGGGAGCACTCAAAGACTTTGTTTTATTGACGTCAGTTCACCTTGCAGAGGACCAGCAAGTTCGTCCCTACAAGGTTACAATTGACAAAGTTATATAATACAGTAATCAGAAGATCCAGATATTAATTTTCGTATTATTTTATCATGTGTGTTTAAGATTACTAGATATCGAATAAGCACCTTTTTTGAATAAGCTCTGTTCTTTTGATAGAGGTTAAATCGTAGTGGTGGCTCCAGTAATTTGCCAACAGGGGGGCCAACAAGTTAGGTCCAAACCAAGGGGATACCTAGAGCTTCAGTCATGGTCCTGGAATGGGGTTCATGGTGGGGAGAGATTTTGTGGTTTAGAATGGCCCAAACTTGTGCATTTAGGCCACAATATTAGGGATAAGCAATAATAATTTTGTTTAGATCAGCAAATTAATATTTGAGCAAAATGACTCTATCTTAGCGTACAGTGGATGGGGCATGCTTGTCCAACAGGGGACCCTACACCTGCTGAAAGCACCACTGATAGATTAAGGTCAAACAGATCATACACTATTGCTAAATTAGTGTACAAAATGGGATAGTTAAATTACATAACATGGAGATCAAATGATGATGTAACAGTTTTTGTTTATGTAATATGATTATAATCAACTCTTGATCATAGTGTCACAGTTATGTTTCAAATTGAAACTATCTTACGAGAAATATTACACTGTCTCTGATGATGTCACAAACCTTTGGAAAAATGAAATGATACTCTGAAACAGGTGTTTTTTTTCTTCCTATTTATAGGTTCTGAATATGGCACAACAAAATCCGCATGGAAAGCCGTTCTGACGGAAGCTGATCGGAAATGTGATTTACATTTGGAAATTGGTAGCAAGTTGATCCAGGATGTACAATCTAGCATCAAAGCATGGCAGAAAGAAAATTACCATAAAAAGATGATGAATGGATTTAAGGAAACCATCGAAGCAGACGAAGCTTTCAGAAAAGTAAGATTCTAATCAATAATTACCGAAATTGTAAATTTTAAAATTAAAATCTGCCATTATTAAGCACCATACATTAATGAATGTTTAGTGCACCTTCAACACACATCTTTAGTTAACTTAGCCGGGCACATACTGCGTTGTATAGTGATTATACGACCATCGGCCGGCGAATCCATTTCCACTCACTGTAAGATTAAGTTATTTCTATGGGTCCAAAAATTGCTTTGGAAATTTGCCATCTGTTGGCGCAAGCAAGTTCACAACAACTATAAAATAGTATGTAGTAACTGTAGTTAAAACCATGGTTTAAAATTTACAGATGCACAGACATGCACAATATAGATACAAGGTAAAAATTAAAATAAAGAAAATGAGTGGATATATAGGATGTTAAGCTTGTAGTTTTGATATAAAAATAAATATGTTTTTATTGAAGTATTAAAGTTAAAATTTTTGTGATTTAAAAATTCAGTTTAATATTCCATGTTAGATTTACTGTAAAAACTGATGTAAAAGACTGACTTAATTATTACACATAATGGCTTGTTGACATATTGTCGTATGCTGATTGTCAATGGCAGACTAAGCGCATTGTCATTTAAAATAATTATTTGCGCACGCTTAATCGTAGCATTGCGTTTTCTATGAACTCGCGTCATCAAAGGTTCATTCATTCATTCTCATGGTATATTTTATTCAAAAACAGTAATTACAATTGATAAAAAGTACATCTTATAATTGCTGCATAGTTTTGTAAATATAAAAAAAACTAAAGTGTACTAGTGTACTAAAGGTGAAGTCTACTGATATACGCCCTTTGACCTAGTAATATGTTCCTAGTAATATTTTGAGGCTCATGACATCATTGGAGCTTTTGGCACAGTGCCTATGAATATGACATAACCATGTCCACATGAGAAAAGTTTACTTTAGACGAGTCTTTATTTTATATCTTGTTTAGCGAACCTGCTGCCCAAAAATAATGATGATTTCAAATAAAAATAAAATTTTATTTTTGGCCAATTACTGTAACACACCCAGCGGCATAAAAAAAAGAGTAGGAGACAAGAAGGCATAGGAGACAAGAAAAATGTGTTCCTTATTCCCTAGTCATGATTAGAAATTTATAAAAGAACAGAAATTGCAAAAATTTAAGTTCTACAAAATATAAGGTCTTTATAGTGTGCATGCAAAGAAGGCATTTATTCAACAAGAATTGTGAAACCACAACCAATACCCTGCTATTCAGACATATATTGTCCATTCAATATTGGAAACGCCCACTTTTATTAGATTATAAAGGAAATGTGTTCCTTCGCAATTGTTTTTGACAATTGCATTAATATATTGCATGTATATCAACTTTCAATATTATTCAAGGTCTAGGAAGTGTAAACGGCACTCGTGATACATTTAATAGCTACATTGCATACAGTTCTACAACCTCAAGTACTGTATAGTGTTCTTATACAGTGTAATTCCACAAAGTGTTTACAAAATCTACATACTGGAAAGGTCCAGCATGTTTTATTTGTTGATAAAAATATGTATTAAAAGATACAGACTTTGGAAAAGAAATACATTAAAATGTTCACAAGTTATAGAATAATAAAACTGATGCTTGCTTTTTGTCTCATTCTTCTTTTGTTTTTTTTCTCTATCTCTGATCCTTTTCATTTTTCCTATTCTCTTGCTTTTTCAAATTTTGTTGCCTTCTTTCCACTTCCTTTCTTTTCATTCTTTTTCTCTTCATTTCCTGATTTCTTTATTCTGATTTTAATTCTCATTTCTCTCTCGTTTCACCAATACTTCTATTCCCTTTTTATGTCGTTCCTTTGCTTTTCCTTTATTTTCTTTTCCTCTTCCTTTCCTGTATTCTTTTCCCTATGTTCCTTTATTAGTTTTTTTTTCTTCATATTTTTGTTTTCACGCTTTCAATTAACTTTTTTTTTTCTCCTATTGTGTTTTTCCTTTTTCCCCTTTTCTCATCTTCTTTCCTTTTCAAGCATTGCCTCTTTAAACTTCATTCTTCATTTCTGTTCTCTCCTAGTCTTTTTTCTCCCCTTGAATTAATTTCTCCCCATTTCTGTTTCTTGATTTTATTCTTCCACTGATTTTATAAAACATTAAAACCACATCACTTCCTCTGAAACGTTAACATTAACTCTTGTTGATTGTTTCCTAAGCTGGACACACGCTGTGATACCCTTTGGGTAGATCACTGTATCAATGCCTACATTATTATTGATATTAAATGTTTTACAGTATGGTCACAGTCTCTTGTGTGGTCATAGTTCATTGAATTGAGGTTGACCTCCAGAAAAAAGTAGTCTTAATTTGTTGTAAAGGCTAATATTTAGTATTTTGTTATAATTTCTATGATTCACTGTAAATTTCTTGACATTAATATCGTATGATATTTTTCCTTTTGAAATTAATCATAGAAGAGAGTTTCCAACCTTCCATATTCCCTTGCCTGATATTTCACACTTAAATATTCTTTTTTCTGTACCGGTCATTTGGAATAGTCTGCCAATTGAAATACAAAACTCAACTTCACTAAACAACTTTAAAATAGATACTAATTGCATATACTTTACTGCAAAATTATTATTTTATTGGTGGCAATATAAATTTGTCATTATATGTTTTTAATATGTCATCATCATTCTCGTTTTTTTTTTTTTTTTTTTTTTTTTTTTTTCGCAATTAAAGCATGTTCCCCCTTTGCCTGACCCCTCTGTACAGTATGTTGTAGTGTTGATGTTTTTAGGAGGAAATAAATATATTATTATTGTGTGTTAATTCATCAGATGTAAATTTTTTTATTTCATAGTGAAAGTAGACAAGTAATTAGACCTTGGTAGATAGGAAATGATCGCTTTATATAGTAGTAAATTTGTATTTGCTGTGTTTATCACTGGAACCAAACTAGTTTCCATGCCAGAATAAAGTAGTTAGCATGCTAGTCTTAAAGTGCTCATTGCCAGAGAGTCTAGCAGCTACATTACCCTTGTTTATTGGAATATATGCCTATGGAAACACGTATTTTGGTCTCTGGGGAGTGTAGTAGGCCTACTCCATATGTTGCAGCCCTAGCTATATAAAAGCACATGAGTGTTATAACCTACTGTATACATCACTACCATGTACCCAACTGCTAATACTCATGGGTGGAGAAAGACAACATGTATGCCTTACTCAAGGACATGAACAAGTTACCAGAGTTAAAATCAATCTCCAGCCAATAAGGTTATTCTGAATAGTATGAGTACTAATACAGTGCAATAAAAATGGAAATAAAACATGGTTATTATTTAGCACATCAAACCATACTAAAAAGAAAGTATTTTGTGCATGTTATTTATTATCAAATTTGAAATTGTAATAATATTTAACATTGTTATAGAAGAAATGAAAATAATGAAGTAAACATAATGTTGTATTATAACTGAAACAGCAGTACTGACTGTTATACTGTAGTTGGGAATTGACAGTTGAATTTAATTGTATTGGTTCATTCATCAGATGTAAATTTTTTTATTTCATAGTGAAAGTAGACAAGTAATTAGACCTTGGTAGATAGGAAATGATCGCTTTATATAGTGGTAAATTTGTATTTGCTGTGTTTATCACTGGAACCAAACTAGTTTCCATGCCAGAATAAAGTAGTTTGCATGCTAGTCTTAAAGTGCTCATTGCCAGAGAGTCTAGCAGCTACATTACCCTTGTTTATTGGAATATATGCCTAGGGAAACACATATTTTGGTCTCTGGGGAGTATAGTAGGCCTACTCCATATGTTGCAGCCCTAGCTATATAAAAGCACATGAGATAACCTACTGTATACATCACTACCATGTACCCAACTGCTAATACTCATGGGTGGAGAAAGACAACATGTATGCCTTACTCAAGGACATGAACAAATTACCAGAGTTGGAATCAATCTCCAGCCATTAAGGTTATTCTGAATAGTATGAGTACTAATACAGTGCAATAAAAATGGAAATAAAACATGGTTATTATTTAGCACATCAAACCATACTAAAATGCTAAGAAAGTATTTTGTGCATGTTATTTATTATCAAATTTGAAATTGTAATAATATTTAACATTGTTATAGAAGAAATGAAAATAATGAAGTAAACATAATGTTGTATTATAACTGAAACAGCAGTACTGACTGTTATACTGTAGTTGGGAATTGACAGTTGAATTTAATTGTATTGGTTCATTCATTGGTGCATTCCAACATGGAATACAGTACATCCCAGCAATATTACTTTAAATAATAATATTACAGTTTGGGTGGAGAAAGACAACATGTATGCCTTACTCAAGGACCTGAACAAGTTACCAGAGTTAAAATCAATCTCCAGCCAATAAGGTTATTCTGAATAGTATGAGTACTAATACAGTGCAATAAAAATGGAAATAAAACATGGTTATTATTTAGCACATCAAACCATACTAAAAAGAAAGTATTTTGTGCATGTTATTTATTATCAAATTTGAAATTGTAATAATATTTAACATTGTTATAGAAGAAATGAAAATAATGAAGTAAACATAATGTTGTATTATAACTGAAACAGCAGTACTGACTGTTATACTGTTGTTGGGAATTGACAGTTGAATTTAATTGTATTGGTTCATTCATTGGTGCATTCCAACATGGAATACAGTACATCCCAGCAATATTACTTTAAATAATAATATTACAGTTTGGTGCTAAAAACATTATTTTGTAGAACCATAAGTACATACTTATAACCTAATTTCACAACATCATAACGTTTGAAGGTTGCTACAAATTTGTGTGAACGTTATTTTGTGGCATTCCAAACACAATGTTCGTGAATATTATAACAAGGTTTTGAGTTTGCTGGAATGATATACTTGGGTGTTTTGATTACTTTCCAAGTCAACATTAGAGTTTTAATGTTAACATTAGACTAGAACTCTGTGAGTTGTCAGTTGATTTGTTTTTATCCACTTATTCTGAGTGAACGGCTGCAGTAGGAAGATCAAGAACATAAATTGAGAGAGATTAATTCTGTAGCATTTCAGGAAATATCCAGTTCAATGCTATGCTATTCTTTGACCCCCTTTTAAAATATCAACAGCCTCTGCTTAAATTTATAATATCCAAAGTGCTTTATTACAACTTGAGTAGTTTACGTCAAATTTTGCGTGTCCTCAAAAAAGTTGATAGAAATGTAATAGGAAAATATGGAGTGTTTAGTATCTACTTAACTGGTTGAATTGAGACGAATTACAAGTTACAAGTACCATTGATAGTAGGTAACATTGTTTACTGTGTAATTCAAATGAAAGACAAACACATCAAATATTGGATGTATTAGACAGATATTTCATGTTTGCGGTGTGTGGTTAATGTGCAGATGTCAATATATTATTCATAGTGTCTCGTGGTAAATTCTGTACTCATTGAAAGTCATTTACCGTACCATTCCCAGACAAGTGACGCGAGTTGCGAGCATGTGTAATTCAGGCATTACAGCATTGCTTAATGAATTTCTAAAATACTGATTTGCCATGCAGGTTTGCTTTAGCTGTTGGTTAAGTAAATAACATGGGAAGCATCATGGATAATTCAATGGAATGATTGTAAAATAGGGACCTTGGTATAATTTGTAGGATTATCAATTTTGGCAGAATGGGAATAAAAACAGGCATTTTCATCACTGTACTACTGTAAAATATCTTTTATAATATTTTATACCAGCATCTGTATTATAAGTACATAATTACTATACTGTATATTAGCCAGTGATGTGATTGAAGCCAATGTGAAAGTAAATCCTTTAAATAATGATTTTATTTTGTTTCTATTGTACATAGGCACAAAAGCCATGGGCCAAGCTGTATAACCGAGTACAACAGACTAAAAAAGCATATCACGTTGCATGTAAGCAAGAGCATTCCGCAGCAAACCTGGAGAAAAATGCATTAGAAGATACAACGATGTCACCTGATCAGGTTTGTCCAATCAACAGCCTACAATCTTTGACAGTATAACATGCTTTATATTGTACAAATAGGAATGATAGGTTGTATGCACAAATCATATCCAGATATGATTGCACATACACAAAACATGCATGTGCCTTTATTTAAATTAGCAGATTACTTGTGTGCAGATTACACTCAAACCATAGAGCTTTTCATGTAGACATATAGTGCTTCCATGTACAACAATAATTAATAACTATAGTAACCCCTGCTGTAGGAATGTAAAGATGTGAGATGGAGGTTTGAAGAAACCAATATCCAAATTGGGATTTGAACCTAAGACCATCTTATTATTATCATTTAATTGACTTTATCTGTTTTGTACTAATTAATGCAATATTTTGAGAACATCTTAAGTTTGAATCTAGATACAGACGATGCATTACATTACATTTTTATTGTCGGAGGCAGAATCAAGGGGGACCTCAACTGGCCTGTGCCCCCTAAATTTTATTAGAGAAGAAAAGAGTTATATTCAAATTTAAGTCTGAGAATGCCATTTTCATAATCATAAATTTTCTTACCTCAGCTCCAACCCTGGTGAAGCAGAGGTGGTCTGCATCCTCCATCTATAAAAGTCCCTCCCTCGGCCCCCTCCCTCGGCCCCCTCGTTTTCGAATTCTTAAATCAGCCACTGATTAGCCTTTAAATATAACCGATGGAGAGATTCCTCTCTACCTTAGATATTACCATGTACTTTATAAAAATAACAAACTTTATTGGTTGTAACATTTAATGAGATGCATACAGCAATTAATTTTCAATTGCTTTTGATACTCGCATAAAAACCTGATACATGATACTTGTAAATCGTAATGGAAATTTAATGTTGAAATAGAGCTTCTGGGTAAATAGATTATCCTAATCATGCTTTACTGCAGGAAATACTTTCTGTATCTAATTCTCTCCTCAACATACATGCACATGACACGACTAGGAGACTTTTTGTCACTGCTTGAACGACCTGAAGTAGCTTTTGTCATTTTCTTTGCTACTTGTGATGTTGTTGACTTGTGTGTCTCTTTAGCATTGCAATTATTCAGATGAAGAATTTAACAAACAATTCATCAACTTCAGACTGAATGACAAAAGGCCAAAGATATAAAAGTAAAACGTGTTTCTCATCTAAGATGAGACCGGTTTATCTATCTCATAGTGGTGGTACTGTATGTACTAGCATTTGGCCAATCCAGTGGGGATAAGCTTTAGGGGTGAGTAGTGGTTGAGGTCTTGGGGGTAGGGGATAAGCTTTTTCTGAGACATTTTAGCAAGTATTATGACCAACAATTTTTTTTATAAGAATTTTTGTTGTTGTTTTGTGCCATGACAAGTCACTAGTTCGACTGGGTTGCCTGAGTTGTCTAAGCCCTCATTTTCATTTCATTTATTTCGTCAAACAGAAAACAAAACATACAGAAATACCAAAAATCAGAGACAGGATAAACAAAAAGCAAACTAAATTGCTGTATAAAGTTTCTCCACTGATTTAAGGATACATAAAATATATAAATAAATCTCTGATCTGTGGAAGTAAAAGTGATTAAAAACGGCAAGGCGCAGCGCAGCGCAGAACAGCGCAGCACGCAAGAAACAATATACCGTTACTCTCAAGAAGCCACTAGAAAAAAAAAAAAATTTCATTTCCAACTTCTTGTGCTTCCTTCCTCTCAACAAGATGGTGACATTATGTCAGACATGGATACGCATTTCATCTCAGCATGTCTGCATTTCTCTAGGATTTTGTGGGTGTTTTTGGCTCATGAAAATGAAAAATAATTAGACAACCGGGAGACCAATGTAATAAAAAAGGTAAAACCTGGCCCCAGCTTGAAAAATCTACTGACCCCCGCATTGGCAGTTAAGCACAAAGACGTAGGATGAGACAAGAAACACGATATTGTTTTTATTTGGCCTGACAAGTTTATTTCAGTTCACAGTGTATAGAATTAGTATCTTACTTGTAAATAGATCCGCGAGATTATCAGCATTGCAGCATTGGTCACGCTTGGTTGCTTCAGAAATGTCTTACCACTTATTATTATTTGACAGGATGCTAGGTTAAATCCTATTCAATCCTAGAATTCTGTTAAGTATCGCAGTCAGGTTGATGTGCTCAAGTTTTACAATTTAATCAATTTAAAATCCCACATTTCACGGTAAAAGCTTAATTGCAAGGAAAATATGGTTTTAAAATTTATAAAATATCAAAAAACATTATATTATATTATTCAATAAAGTAGAGTTTAATATAATTTATTTAATTTAATTTTGATTATTATATCAATATTATACAAGTAATGAATATTTATGAGTGCAATGGGTTAGAATATTTCGTAAGGTGAAAGATTGGATGTTCTATTCAACGTAGGCATAGGAATCGATCAAGTTCAGTTTCTGCAAATAATAGACTCAAATCCTCACCGCTGACGCCACTCTATACGGTTGACTGCATATTTTATTTCCTTTTTTGTTGATTCGGCATAACTTTCATTCAGTAATTCCTCCAAACTTTCTTTGCTGAAAAGTACAAATGGCCCAGTACCAAATAGACCTGCCATTTTATTGGTGGGTTGGCTAGGCTAGGCTAATTTATCTTGCTCATGTTGCATATGAGATTTTTGTCGTTTTGAAGATAAAAAAGTACTATTCAACGATTTTAATAACCCAGGAATATTCATTTTAAATTAATCTCACATGACTTTTTTCAACCAATCAAATTAATAGAATATATACAGGCGTTGTATAATAGTTCCAACACAGTAGAGTAGGCTTTTCAACTTTATTTTTTTGTGGGGGAAAATATATTTAATGATATTCATCACTTCAGCAATGTCATGGTTGAGGGTTTCTTCTGTGACCCCTCTATATGCCCAGAGATAGTAGTTTCAGGTCAAGTATTCAGGTTAACAAGTCTTATCATCTGAAACCGTGTTCAAGTATCGCATGAATATGTCATTGGAAATTTTCAGGAGAGAATAGAATTATTTTTGATGTGAAACACAAAGATATTACCCACTCAAAATCTGAAAGCTTCTTTCCAGTAGAGTCCTTCTGATTGAATTGAGCAGTAAAGAACACCGGGGACAGTCCCCTATGTTCTGAGGAATGTGTGGCATTCTTTATGGTGCACATGACCCACATTGCACACGGAACCAACAACATACGTCTCAACTTAAAACAGTGTGATATCATAAAGGTATTTCGGTACTCCAGTTGAAAGGAACACCAGAAAAGCAGTGAATGGAATTGGACCCTCTCAATCTCGGTCTTAAGACTTCTAGTGGTGAATTAAACAGATGTGTACCGGGAGACAATTCCCCGACTCCAAGAATGTACCGCATTTTGTAAAGTGCGCATAGGCAAAATTAAACATAGGACCAACAGCTTAAATATCTGAACCTCGCCTTGTATTTCAGCCCTCTGCTGAAACGCAATGAGAACAGTGATGGCAGTTGAACCAGAAACCAAACGTGTTCTACGTATTTTTGCGTGAATTTTTGTAACAAGTAAATAAATATAGAAGAATTCTCATACCTACCAAGTTTCTCGCATCTGGCGTGAGCCTTACGCTTTTCGACTAAACCTCAAGCTCTCAAGCCACTCGCCTAAAATCTCACGCTTTTCCACTAACCTCAAGCTTTATTTTATTAAACCCAAACTTTCTCAAGTCACTCACCTAAAATCTCACACTTTTCCACTAATCTCGTAATTCTATAGTTTATCAGGCCTAGAATCATCGAAAATTTGAGCACTAGAGATCTACTTCAGAGTGCACCAGACATTTTTCGGCGCCCTATGCAGGCCCACGACCCACGCTAATTGAGTTTATTTCTTGGTAAATCTAAAGAGACTAACTACCTCCAACTTGCCATGTATGAATTCTTTTGTACTGCTAGTAGTAGTAGTTGGTGAAAAATTACGTCATTTTGTTTCGTCCACCAACAGAGAACGCTACATACTCTATGCCTATAGAAGTACTTTTCAAGCGCCTGTCACATACCATCATAATTTAGTCTGACATTGTTTACTCATATTTTGGCTTATGAATGGAAATAGAAAAATGCCAATGTACAGTAGCCAGCTCTGTATAATGATTACGTACCGTATGTGTGCATAGTTTCATTGTAAACACTCTTCACTTTCAGAGCCTGTAGGCGGCTTAGTTTTTTTGTTTTTTCCACAAGCATTTTATTATGAAAGAAAGATAAAAAGCTATGTTAACTTTAAGTGTCAAGTAGTTGCTTAACCTAAAATGAAACTCGTAAAAATTCTTGTGACTTGGTTGTATGATACTTCAGCTATCGACAATACAATAGGGGTCATAGTTTACACAACACATCCATTTTTACAAGACAATTAACAAGGTCTCCAGTCACTTAACAGACAATGAACAAAGATAATTCAAACAGAAGTAGGAATGTATTTTAACTAGTTGAATATTTATTTGAACATAAACTTCCATGTGTACAGAGACTATACGATACGATACTCCTTTATTGTCATTTCAACAACATGGTGAAAATGAAATTTGTATTGATTGATCCGATAGGCAAAAAGAATAAAACGTTCAATTCAAGAAATATGTATATAAAGTATGAATAAATAGATAAATAAATAAAGATAAGTAAATACAAGAAAGCTTGAGTTAAATAAATATATTCAATTACCTATAGTCTTCAAAGACCTACTTGTGTATGAATTATTATTGTTTATATAGTCAATGTATTAAGCTAACTATATTCATGATATCAAATGGTAACTAAACAATCAAAATCAATTATTTACAAACTAGCAATTTTAGACTAATATAAATACTAAAATTCAGTTAATAGTCCTAATTTTATTAGGGAATATTATATTATGATATTAATATTAATACTAATTTGGATATCATATTTTTACCAACAATTATAAAAGTTGTAGTTTTGATGTGCAATTTGAAGATCATTATCTTCACTAGAGAGATATGAGAGCATTATAGCTCGGTTGAACTTGCTATAGCACTGTATGTGCAATGAACTATGAATATGAACTTAGTGATGACCTCAAAAACTCAAATACAATTTCCAATTTTAAAATGAAAATAAAAATCAATTAAAGTATTATAGTTAATAATGTAAGTTTATTTATGATAATTCAGTTTAGTTAATGTTCAGTAGGCCTTAATGTGATTTTCTTTTTTATTAATAAGTCTATTTTTACCTTTTTGTTTTAATTTCTGTTTTGTTGAGTTGTACAATGCCGTTATGGCCTTGTTGAAAAACACCATTGCGGTGAACAAGTGTTTCCGTACTTCAATAAAGTTTTAATTATTTTTTTTATTACGGAGAGTCTTGGGGTCCCTGGTTCAAGTTTATTGCTACTTTTTCATTTTAGTATGAGGACAGAATATTATAATTATGAAGAACTTCACCTTATGTTATATATTAAAACCTATAAAATTAGCAACAAGAATTTAAGCACTAAAATAAGTTTTACTTTCATTTATTATGGACCTTTTTGCTACTGTATGTCTACCCCTACTCATTTGTGTGGAAAGTGCATATTCGTAGCCTTGTTCCAGTTGGTCAGTCTTTAAACTTGATTGACACTCAGGGAATATTCATTTATTTCAGTATCGTTTGATTGTTGACATTTAAAAAAATTTTAGAATGATGATTTGTATTCTTTTAAAAGTATTAAAAATTGTTAACATTTAAATATTTTTTTTTTTCAGGTGAAAAAACTACAAGACAAAGTTGAAAAATGTAGACACGAATGCGAGAAAACCAAAGATAAATACTCAAAGGCGCTGGAAGATATAACAGATATGAACGCACGCTATATGGAGGACATGAACACGCATTTCGATAAGACGCAACATTTTGAGAAGAATCGTCTCGATTTCTTCAAAGAAACTCTGATACACCTTCACCGAGTTCTCGATCTATCCCAGAATGCCCAGTAAGTTGTTGGTTTTTTAATTACTAAAAATTTCGTTAAAATTATAATTTGATTTTTAAAATTTTTGACTAAAATAATAAAAGTATAAAGAAACAAAACAGAAGTACTTGGGATGGGAGGTCTTGCCAAGTCCTATAGGTGTATTACAATTCCATGTAGGAAAAATAATTTCCATTTCGGGAAAATTAATTCAAGGCATTTTGCCATTTTATCTTGTAGTCATTTATTCATTTACTTTATTTCAGATAAAATCCATAGAAGTTTAATAATATTAATATTGAGAAGAACCAAAATCTTAATTTCTGTTCATTTTATTTTTATTTCTGACTTGCATTTTCTGTTATATATTTTTTGTTTGATCTTAATTTATGGTAATAAACTATTCCCTACGAACACCATCCATCGGCATTTCTCAGTCTAGCTGTCAGGGCCAGGATATTCAAGAGTTTTTTTAATTATTTTTGAATGGGGAATGAGGACAAATTATGCTTACTTTGAAGAAATACTAAGCTGAAAACCTAAAAAATAAAAAAAGAACAAAAATATATTTGAATTTCCTGCTTTTTATTGAGGTAGAGTAGAACCCTTCAATTGGGACACTCCCATTGGTACCGGTACTGGTATAGGCCTTTATAATGCGTCTTTTCCTTGCGGTTATAAAGCGCAGTTCTTTTCCCTGGTCATTGGGTCCACATGCCAAGTGCTGCTGGTAGTCAGCGCAGGAGAAGGTAGCACCACCAAGTACCCATTTATACTCCTGGGTAGAGAGAAGCAATGCAGATAAATACACAGCAAGGGATTGAAACTCCAATCTAGAGGTTGGGAAACCAAACGGTTCCCGCTGTGCCAAACCACTTCCATTAGGAGAACCCTCCATAAATGTAATTGTTTTTTGGTTGAATTCTGTATCTCATTTCAAATTGATAATACTTGTTTAATCCGTTTTATTGAGCAATTACATTTTTTATGTTGAGTCTGAGATTATAGCCTATATCTTTCACTGTCAGTTTGTCTTTACATTTATACTTTTTTTTTGTCTTTACATTCTGTTATATATCCCTTCAATGGAAATTTAGAAGCATAAAATGTCATACAAGAGAAATATAATGCTTGAAAGAACATAATTCCATATCTCCTTTTACAGTCATGAATCTCTATGCGATTCAGCATGTACTATGTTCCACCATATGTGTTTAATAAATGAATTGAGTTTAACGTCCCAGCTGTTATACTAAAGAACAAAAGAATTTTGTATGTACAAAGTTATGGCTAGAATATGATTCAGACTATGTAATGTTAATGCATCTCAGGAACTTTGAATTAGGTTGGGAATATAGATAATTGTTTGAAAGGAAGTGAAAATATAATACAATACAGGTGAACAAGAATACAAAACTGGCTGCAAAACATGTAATTATGAAATGATTATAAAGAAATAATATTCAATAATAATAATAATGATATAATAATAATAATAATAATTTTAAATATTGTTATATAGTACAGTTAGACGTCTACCGTGCTAGAGCCCAACTGAATTTACCTTCAAAGAAAACCAAATTATTTTAATCGTTGGCATTCTTCCACTTAAAATATTATTTTAACTCTTATTCAAACATCTGTATGTTGTGGACCTTTCTATTGTGTTCTTTCTAGTTGGTAGATCGCCGAATTGTGTTGTTTACATTCACTTCGCAAACCAGCATTCACGAGTTCAATAAGTTGCTGACCTCAACATTCTTGTTTGTCATCATAAACATGGGCGCTCAATCTGACGACACGTCTGTAGTTTGTTGTCCTGGTTAGGTTTATTACATTAATATAGTGATTATTGTATCAGAAATAGAAGAAAAGTTTGAACTATTAATAAATATACAACAAGCCTGATTTTATTAAGAAATCGTAGTATTATCACTTTGTAAAACGTGCGCAAGCAGACTTTTTCACGGTAATATTTGGTCGATGATGACGTCATCAGGTGCAAAGACCATTCGTAAAATTGACTATTCGTGAAATGGACGTTTTACAGTATTGTTCATTTTTGTTACTAGTGTTAGAGTATTGTTATATTTATAAACATTTAAATTGATAGTAAGTAATTGTGTCGTTACCAATATTATGTATTATCGTTAATTTAATTAGTTGTTATAATAGTATAATAATATGTAATCATTTTAAATAAACATAGTAATAATTGGCTCTGAAAGTTCTAAATGGTGTTTTTATATAGGTGCCATAATTACTGTATCATTTATAGGTAGATTTTTATTTATTTATTTTTTTTTTTGTAGGTTTGCTGAAGTTTACTCAAACTTCATCACAACGGTACAAAATGCAGACTCGGATAAGGACTTAAAATGGTGGAAGAATACAAATGGCTCTGGCATGCCGATGAATTGGCCGACATTTGAGGTGCTCTTCTCAATTTTTATTTCATTTTACGATAACAATATAGTTCATCTGTTAAAGGAAATCCTTCGGTATAAATGTACTTGCTCTCAACAATATTTTTCTTTAAGAAAGAAGGACAACCTGACCAAACTATGCATCATGGGGTACTAACATTATTCTACAAGGTCCCAGCAACTTACAATCCACTAACCTAACCAAATTATGTATGATGCATAGGGTCATATATTTATTTGAATGTATTTAGCTTAAATTCTGCTGAAATACTATGTATGGGCACTGTCTAGGTATCATGGTACATTTCTTAAATCATTCATCAAAAAAAAAAACATTTTTTTTTCATATGGGTATTATACAGTAATATGATATCAACATGCCCATATATGGGCCAACTGTGATATATTATTATTTGTCATGGTACATGTCTTAAATCATTCATCAATAAAAAACATGTGATTTTTTCATATATGGGTAATACACACTCATATGACATAAATCATGCATAAAATAAAAAAAAAACATTGAAGGAAGTTGGTGACTAATAATATAATAATGTTGTTTCTCCCAAAAGGAATATTCTGAAGATTTGTCGCGCATGATCAGTTCGAAGAAGTCACGAGGAAATGTCGGTGGTGGAGAAAAGGCAGTGGCAATATCCTCGTTTCGATCCACCTCCGAGTATTCCAATCAAGATTATAATACGATGGACAGGTATGTTATAATTACAAAAATTCAATTAATACAATATAAGAAATTCCAATATTTATCAAAAATCGTACCAGCAATCAAGGCCATTGTCCAGCAGTAATCTGTGTTGGTTGTTAAGTGTTTGTCTGGCTGATTTGTGGTTGTGTTTTGTTGTTGGCTTACTTTATAATGAATCATCATTACCCCCACAGTGTGGCTATGTGTTTGTCTGTCTGTATACGCTATCATGTCGATTATAATTGACCAATTATATGATCTTCATTGTCATTCTTCAAGACGTGTGCTTGGATTTGAGGGGATATTTGTGTAACTATGTGTTTTTTGGTCTGTCTCTAGTTGTTCCCTTATAATGAATTGTACAACATTTTTTATATATTTCAAATCGCTCAGGCCACGTGATGTGTGTGTATGTGTAAAAGATGGTGTTTACTCCTTTATATTTTCTTATGTGTGTGTTGGGTTTCTTAGCATACTACTGTAAGTGTAATTCAAACCACATGTTTTGTGTGTGGGGAAGGGCATATGTGTGTATCTGTAAAAGATTGCTTTTTTGTATTTTGTGTTTGGTATTCTTTTTCCATACTAAGTACAATTTTTATATGATGTATACAAACTTATCGCATCATATTTTTAATCGTAGTATTTATTTAGATAACATTTTTATTCTATCAATAAATGATGGTATTACTATTAAAATATAATCTTAGAAAAGTGCATCATATTATGAGTCATCTTATCTCTTCTGTTCATCGTTTTCATGAGAGTGCAAGGCATACATCAAAGAAGGAGGTGTATGTAGGCTTTTTTTATTTAAAAAAAAAAAAACCAATGATCTCATAATTATAAGAATCATCATTTAATTGTGTACTTATAGATCACAAATTTAAGATTTTTATCAAGATAACCTTTTAATCATAAAATATTATACTGCTACTTTAGTGCTAACTAAAATAGCAAGTTACATAATAAACTTTTTAAAACAGGAAAGGGTTTGTACTTTCTTGAAAATGAAAAAATTGGATGACCTTACAAGTTCTTTCCCATCTAAGGATATTCTGTGACATCATTATGCCCATATAATAATGGTATCATCAAGATATGGGCATAACAATTGTCACATAAAATTTTGCCCTGACTATAAACATACACAATGATGTTCCTAAGATTCAAATTTTTTTTATTATTACTGGCTCCCCCATTCATCAGAAATTGTATAATCACAACAATAATTGTTGTAAATCTGCCCTAATTATTTTAAATCCTTTCTTATTTCAATTTAACAATTGAACTGTATTTCCAGCCATTTTGTGGAAAGTAAGGCGTATGTAAATGGTAATAAGGGTCTCCCTCCAATTAAAGACTACTTTGGGACCGGGGTTTTCATGGTCTTTTGGCAGCTTTGGTCTCTAATTAGAATAATAAAAATAAAAGACATTGGTTAATTTGAGACCACAGAAAAGTGGTCCTTATTTGGAGGGTGAAATGTAGTTGATACGATAATAATGAATAAGCAAACCTAATTCTTCACACTTATTTTAAGAGATTTCCATGAACGCATTATTCTTGACTAACTCCTGCATTTCTGAGAATCTTTCCTATCTATCACAGATCATATGGCGTCTATAGGCAAAGGGTGACCTTTAACCCCTACAATACGGTCGTAGAGTGAGTCTGAAGTTCGCAGCAATGGTTTTTCTAGATTTTGTTTTTTCTGATTAAGATAAAACATTGCATGAGTTTAGGCGGACTATTTTTATTAGGTTATGCTTGGGTGAGGTGTAGGGTCCTGTGCGACTTCTTTCTCAATTTTTTTCCCTTATAGCTGGCTTCTTTCCTTTCCAAGTTAATTTCTCTTACTGCTACTTTTAGGCTACATTAATATCCTGGTATTCTTACATCTTAGTAGATAATGGTGAAGTTTATTAAACATTTCTGAGCAAAATTGTTTCAAACCAAAATGATAATTAAGGATTTAATTAAGAAAAGAACATATATTTTTTTTAATGATAAAATAGATTCTTTACTTAACTTAAATTATTGTTATAAATAAATCATGATATTTTATATAATTATTTTTTTTATTAAATTATTTTTTATATCTTAGTATTAGTATAATTCTTAGGTTTTTTTATTCTTATTGTTATGTTTATTACTATTGTTATTGTTGTTAATTATTATTTTGCAAATTACTGTAGATAAAGCAATTACAATTTAGCATGTCTTAAAAAAAAGTATAGCTTTAGCTTAACAGAGGTAAGTGTAGTGGCCTCTATAAATTTGTAGGTCAGAGTTGCTCATTATTAGCCTATCTAGTACTCATTATTGTAGGTTCATGCATTAGTCTTCTTAGCTTCATTTTCTGTATTAATTTTCATTATGTACTTTAAAATTTGATTGGTCAATTGAGTCATGGTTTGATTGAGGTATGCATTGATTGATTGATATATGATTGATTGGTTGGTGTAATTGTTTATTTTTTGATCGTTAATTGATTGGTTGGTTTATTTATTTTTTTGATTTATTGATTCACTTGTTTTGAAGTAGTTGATGAATGGATTGATAATGTATATTGGTTGATTGATTGATTAGATGGTTGATTAGGCATTATTAGCCTATCTAGTACTCATTATTGTAGGTTCATGCATTAGTCTTCTTAGCTTCATTTTCTGTATTAATTTTCATTATGTACTTTAAAATTTGATTGGTCAATTGAGTCATGGTTTGATTGAGGTATGCATTGATTGATTGATATTTGATTGATTGGTTGGTGTAATTGTTTATTTTTTGATCGTTAATTGATTGGTTGGTTTATTTATTTTTTCGATTGATTGATTCATTTGTTTTGAAGTAGTTGATGAATGGATTGATAATGTATATTGGTTGATTGATTGATTAGATGGTTGATTAGATTTTGTGATTGATTGTATAATGATATTGCTTGATTGATTTATTGATGGATTGAATTGGTAGATGATTGATTGATTGATTTGGTAGATGGATTGTTTCATCTGCGTGTTTATCATTACTCCACTTGACCACAATATTAGGTAAAGTGTGCAGGCACTGAATAGAAATAATGGTCAACTTATAGAATGCGTATTGTAGAGACCTCTATGTGGTTCCCCCCCCCCCCAGAGATTGATTGAACTACCGACCTTGACGTAAAGAGACAGAACCGCAAATGCTGTGCCAAACCGCTGGGTCAAAAACGAATGTCGGTGTGAGAATGGATGGATTGATTGATTGATTGATTGATGGATGAATTGGATTGCTTGATTGGTCAATTGATTTATCACTTGATTGATTGTGTAATTAGTTGATTGATTGAGTGATTAATTAATGGGAGTGATGATTTGGTTCATTAGTTTATTATTTGGTTAATCAAATTGGTGAATTGATTGATGTTAGTTGATTAGTTCTCATTTGTTCCCATTCTGCTTTGTGCCCGTCATTTTTCACACTCAATTATTCCAGTTTTTTTGGGGTTAAAAAAATTCTTTATGTTTTCATTTAATTTTTTGTTTTCTTTGTAAAATTGTATGACATTGATCATGCCTCATACCTTCATTACACCACTATATCACAGGAATTATGGCGACGTAGAGCATCAGGTTTACAGTTCTTACAGGTGAGTCAACAGTCCATTCAGAAGCTTGTATGCCGTCCACTTGCTTGTCCATTGCCATTGTGCTATTGTCTGTTCAAAATTCATTGTTCATTGTGTATTAAAATCACATGTTTGATTTAGTGAATGCTAACCTGGTAGCACCTAAGAGTAAGAAAGGAAAGAGATTCCACTCCACTGTTTTCGCTGTAATGCAATTCTATTCTGATTTGAATGGCGCCCACTACATCCCGGTAGTACTTTTTACCAAGTAAGATAGAATTTCTATTTGTTAGTGAGGTTATAAGTTAGATTTTGAGCAAATTATCAATGTTATTGTTATTGCTTTTTAAATTAAGCTTACTGTACTGTATGTGCAATAATAAGTTTTAATTAAATTGCATACACAAAAATAATTATGCAAAAATTAACTAATTGGCGAGCCTAGGCCTAGCAAACAAAATTCCTGTTTCATATGTTGGGTGCCTGCTTCATTGTGGTGTGGGTAGGCCTAGCATACTAATCATTGATTTAAGTAGGACATTTGCTACAAACGTGTAATACTTTGCGCGGTGAATTGTGTGCATGTAAAATTAGTGGAATGGGATCTCTGTAGCGCCATTTATTTGTCATCATCATCTTCTAATGGTTTGACTCTTCCTATAATCAATGTTTACAGTAAATATCAAGTTTTGTCGTTGTCGTGTTCATCACTATCAATTCCTTTGCACTCTTGTGGTTATTTGCTGTGCTACTTATTGGAGATTTTTTTTTTTATCAATGAAACTGACGATACTGCTCGATAATATATGTAAATATTCTTTAGGTATTTCCCTGCTTTTGTTCTACGGCTACATCCCAGTGTAGGATTCTTCGAAATCCTAAAACCTGCAGCCCACAATACAGTACAGTACATGGAAAGAGCATTCTATAGCATCTCCCAACCTTCAGTAGAGGCAGTGAGGTTTTTACATGTCTTTAAACTCTAACAATAAATTATATAAAATACATGGTACTTCAATTCCAGGCCTACTGTAATCTAAGGGGATGGGCATAAAAATTGGTCAGACGGCCAAAGTGAATTTTTGATTTAACACCGAGGGCCGCACTCAAGATTTTATTTTCCCAGTATGCTTCTAAAAACCTTTATGCACTGCTTTTATACCGCCTTATGCTCAGTTTAGTATTACTTTTTACAGATGATCGGTGTTGGGTCTTAAAAAACAAAGGGACTTTCTAGCCTGTAATTGTGACGGGCCGAACACATAGGGTTTTTAATTATTTTCAGGGGCTGCAATAAAATCACATTTGGGCCACGTAGGGCCTACAGGCCGCACTTTGCCCATCCATGCTCTAAAACGAAATTTTCTAGCCTATGATTGTGGCGGGCCGCACGCATAGGGTTTTTGTATTTATTTCCACGAGTCTCAAAAAAAAACAAAAACATTTTCAGGCCACATGGGGCCTGCATGCCTCACTTTTCTGTGCTTAATTCCATTAAACCCAAAGAAGTTTTTTTTTATCCTCACACAAGTAGTACTGTACCTCCGAACTAAACTGAAGGAGACAATGAAGTCTATATATGGTACCTACTATATAGAGCTTATTTATCACTACCCAGGTAGATTATATTGTCTACATGGTAGCTGTATCTCTCTTGCAAATATTTCAATCTTCCCCATGATAATTATCATAAACACAAATTCCTACTTAGAAAAAGGTTGCTTCTGGTTTTGTACCTGTAGTATCAATTTCAGTGCCAATTTCTCTATTCTTGCAGTGTTTATGAAGTACCAATTAGAAATCAAATCTTGGTGTGTATATGATCATCCCCCTGATCTATTGTGAATCTATCTTTCACCACACACCTGATCCATTGTGAATTATACTAATTAGTTTAGTATATCTCTTGCATCATCCAGATATTAGTATAAAAAACCCAAGATTTCAATTGTATTTAATGTATAATATAATTCAATAAATTAATATTTTTGTAGTGTTTAATGTTTTTACAATTTGATTATTCATTAACTATTTACTTTTTTAAATTATTAATTTATTATTATTATTATTTTGTATTGATATTGTTATTATTATAAGTGATATTTTTAATATAATTACTATATTTTCCTAATATAACAATATAGGAGGCATGATTGTAATCTAGTAATTTTTTTCAGTGTGGCTGCTCAATATTTGTAGAAATAACTAAATAAATATTAATAATAATATTATTATTATAATTTATTAATTATTGTCTTTAGAAGTTGTTTACATGATAAATCTTTACAAAGGAATGAATACCTGAAGCCCTGCCTGAATTATCAAAAACATTTGTATGCCCATATATAGTCATGATGTGCCTACTGTATATGGTCATGATGTGATGTCGTCATGACCTTATATGGCCTTATATGCCACATAAAAAATAACATTCCTGTTGAGTTTCCTGATGCAAAATATTTTTAAAAATGATAAATCTATTTTGAATTTAAGCAAGCTTCTATAATAGAATTTTCATTCTTAAAGGCCTGTTTATACTTATAATGATAATGACAAAAATATAAAAAGCAATTGCTCATAGAGAAAATAAATGAAATAAGAGAAATTTTTACACTAGGATGATTCGATAACGATTTATTGTGTATACGATAACAAAATATTTTGACAAATCAATTCAAATGACGTCATAATCGTGGGAAAACGATAAAATCATCGTTGCTACTATAATTTTATCGTTTTTCCATGATTATGATGTCATTTGATTTGTCAAAATAGTCTGATATATGCACGATAAATCGTTTAAATCGTCCTAGTGTAAAATCTTCGCTTATTTCTTTTATTTTATATATGAACAATTGCTTTTTATCTTTATCATCACCATTGAAATTATAAGCAAGCCTTAAAGCTCGCCTCATTCAGCTGTTTTCCGTTATCATTCTTGTGTGGTGTGGATGATCACGCTTCACGAGCACATTACTAGTAGATTTCTCTAAATCTGTTATCTATTTAATATTCATAAGTCGCTAAGTGGCTCTGAAATCATTGATTATTATGTACGGTGAGTCACATGTTAACATACTACTCATGTGTGGGCCTCTAGTGGTTGATTAATGTGCTAACTACAGCTACTAAATCTTAGTAATCTATGTATTGAGTTAAAAATACTGTCCTTGCTAAACCCTAAAAATAAACCATAAAATAATTCAATTAATTCTTTGAAGGTTTAAAAAAAATATTGTCAATTTCGAATAAAGCTCTGTCTACACTATGAAATTTTAAGTGACATATTTTGGGGTGTATATTACATCATGCCCATATATGGGCACATTACTATAAATTTGTCACATAAAATGTGGACAGGGCTTTTGTTATGGATGAAAACAAATTTTCATTTACTGCAGAAATTTTAAATTGACTGTAATATAATTGAAGGATTTATGTAAATAATAAAGCCCTATCCATACTAGCATATTTTGTGTGACAGATAAATGCGATAGAGTGTAATATGACATCATCATGCCCAATATGGGGACAACACACGAAATTGTCACATGAAATGTGATAGTGTGGACAGAGCTTAAATAATTGTATTAACAGATTTTTGTAAACAATAATAAAACTTTGTCCACACTGTCAGATTTTGTGACAGAAAAATGTGATATGCCCATATTAGGGTGATATATGACATCATCATGCCCAATATGGGGACAACACACGAAATTATCACATGAAATGTGATAGTGTGGACAGAGCTTAAATAATTGTATTAACAGATTTTTGTAAACAATAATAAAACTTTGTCCACACTGTCAGATTTTGTGACAGAAAAATGTGATATGCCCGTATTAGGGTGATATATGACATCATCATGCCCAATATGGGGACAACACACGAAATTGTCACATGAAATGTGATAGTGTGGACAGAGCTTAAATAATTGTATTAACAGATTCTTGTAAACAATAATAAAACTCTGTCCACACTGTCAAATTTTATGTGACAGAAAAATATGATATGCATATATTAGGGTGTAATATCACATTATGGGTACATCACACAAATTTGTCACAGAAAATTTGAAAGTGTGAACAGAGCTTTAAGGAATTTTATTTACATTTGTTATTGTGAAAAATATATTTTCTTATTTTAAATTTCATATATTTCTATAAACACTATTAAACCAATTCAAATGGAATTTTAATGAGTTTTTTTTTTTTTAGCTCAGCATGGAAAGTATATTTAATTCTACTTTAGTATGCTTTATTATAATGAGAGGCAATTAGGGGAACAATTTAACATCATGATCTTCTCTTGATTCTGTCATCTTTCTTTCCTTTGACGTGTAATTGATGTTTTCAACAACTGTTTGAAGTGAGAGCTATGTAATAGAAAAAATATTATTAAACATTAATATTTTGTGTATATATAGGTATGTGTATATATATATATATATATATTTATATTATATATACTGTATTCATATTTATAGTGTTTTGTGTTTTAATAATAATAAGCCATAATATTTTATATGTTAAATATACTATTATGTATGTGGAGCTGTTACTTAAGCATAGTTACCAACCCGAAAGCTTTGAAATGCATGATTTGAAACGCGGGTCGGGGACCGCCAGAGCCCCTGCCAGGGTCCAGGGTCGGAGATCTGTGGGGGTTCTGGGGGCGAATCCCCCTGGCACTCCGACAATCTGAGCATTTTAAAGCTGTTTTTAAAATATTTTTAATAGAGCCATGTGCAATTCGAGTTTCAATGTATGTTTATTTTCAGCACCCGAACTACATACACAAACATTTCATTACTCAAACAAAAAATTAATAGGCTGCGGTGGTGAACCTTTCATATCATTTGACACTATTTCTACCCCTCCTGTTATACTCCCACGCCCCTGATTCTTAATTAATTTGTTTAAAGTGCCAACATTTTTTTATAGTTGTACTCACCGGCCAAAGATAATATCTGAGTACTGGTAATTAAGCAACTCGTTATAATGATTTTGGTAATTTCA